TCAAAATGTACCAAAAAAATCAGTATTTCTATCATTTATAAAATTTACTGGTGCTATGTGATGGCACTAATGTATTTAGTGAAATTAATCCTGGTCCCACTTTGGGGGCTCTCAATTCACATTTCATCAACCTCCTCTATGAGTTTTTTTTTTTTTAACTTAGAGACTGTGGGAAGAACTTACAAAGCATGTGAATTTGGATGGAAAAAATATGTTTAGATTTCCACTGACCTCTAACTGAGACTTGGCATTTTCTTCCATTATAAATGTAGGCAAACAAAATGCGGAGGTATTAGCAGTCCCTTGACTTTTCCACAAGTGTGATATTATCATATCACAAGTTATTGCATTTTTTGGAAATATTTATGTTCATGTACTTCAAAATTATGATAGTTATTAGAGCTGTCATTACTCATTGTTATTTAATGTGTTACAGGAGCACGTATGTTACTATGTCACACATGTGTTTTGATAGTGGTATTATTTCAGTACCGTTGGTTCCTTTTTATTTCATGTATTTAAAAGTGCTATTTTGATAGACTGTTCATAGGCGTCACCAGATTTCCCAAGGGATACATGGCACCAAAACTTAAGAACCTCTCCTTGACATTTTCTCAGCCATACTAGGCAGAGGCTGGAGCTGAAGGGAGTGGAAATTGGGAGGGTTCAGGAGTCCTGCATTCTTACTCCAGCTCCACCATCCATGTAGCCGTGTGACCTAGGATATGGCTCTTCTTCCGAGACTTGTTTTCCTTCGTGACAATAATGGGAAGGGAACCATTTGCCCGACGGTGTTGTGAAGATCAGATAACACAATGTCTACGTACAGAAGTTGCTTTGAAAACACTTTGAGGCACAATGTTAGGTATTCGTTGGGGAATATTAATCAGTTAAGGTGGCAGAGGTCCAAAGGCCTATTAATTTTATGGCAATCTAATATTCAAACAAGACATGGAGTGAACACGGGTAGGGAGCAGTCTCTCTGATGCCCTACATCCCATTTTCCACCCAAATCTGAGATCATCTCCATAAGGTCCTAAAGCCTGGAGTGTGCATGTGTGCCAAGTTGCTTCAGTCATGTCTGACTCTTTGCGAGAATAAGTGGAACCAGGCAGATTTGGGTTCAAATCCTGGACTTTGTCACTGACTAGCTATGTATCTTGGGCAAATAATTGAACCTTTCTGAGCCTGTTTTCTCCTGTTACCATACTTCACGCTTGCAGACATTTGTGAAGCCTTCCTCGATGTCCCTCCTGCAGCACCTTGTACATAATTGTGCCCTTTAGCATCCTCACCAGAGTGTCCACTTTTGAAGGAAGAGATTGTATTTTTGTTCCCATTTGAATTTCCAGGACCAAGGCGTGTGCGTGTCAGGTTCTCTATAATGGCATGTGAATGTATTTACAATGTAGGGTTTACCACTACTTCTTACCAATTAGGCTGATATGAAGGTTAAATAAGATATTGGGCCAATAGAAAGTTTTGAGTTTTCATTTAGACAGACGAAGATTCAAATCTCATCTCTGCCTTTTAGGAACTTTTCATCTCAGAGTCTTAGTTGAAACAGCGAAGCGCTATATACATCTCACAGTTCTACCAGGGATGAAGGATTTAAGCTGTGTGTTAAAGCCTACCTTTCCAGCTCCCCGAGGGCAAGGGCCAGCCATGCTCCTTTTGCATACCAGTGTCTGGCAGAGTGCCCGGGACTGAGTCAGTGTTCTGAATGTGTTTAAACAGCTGAATTTCCTTCCTTGAGGCTCAGTAACATGATGTCGCCTCACAATTCTAGGTGTGAACCCCAAAACATTTTCCTAAAATGAGAGCAGGTTCATGACTCGCAATCACTTTTGACTGAACCATAATCATAAAATCATAAGTCTACTGTGAACACACTCTTGGCTGGGCACTGGCTGAGCATTTACAGACACTATCTTGTTGAATCTTTACCACATCTCTCTAGGGAGGTACTGTTTCTCCTTAATTAAAAAAATGGAAGCTTCCATCGTGTCCATGTAACTGGCCTGAAGACACACAGTGACTTTATGCAGCATAACAGATGCTCAGTAGATAGTAGTAGTTGTGGTGAAAAGTGAATCCAGGTCTTTTTGATAGACTGTCCAAGACACCTAAGAATCCCCAGGGCTCACCCAGTCCTACCAGGTGAGTCAAAAGGTCTTGCACATCTATGCTGTCTTTTCAAGTAACACAGTTTATTCTGCATTATATGAAAAGCATACATTTGGGGGCACAATTAAATATGAAACACTGTATAACTTGAATATAGATTTGTGTCCAATTTTCTCTGAAAACTAATTTTTCCATTTGCACGAGAGACATTTAATAAGCCACTTGGTAATATTAAAAAAAAAACAGAACTGGCAATGTCACAGGACTAGGGAGATGAAATAGCCATTTGTAAAATAAAAGAATGCTTCTATTCATTTTCATCTGGGAAAATCTAACTCCTGTATCTCCTCAAAATAACAAAACAGTAAAATTTCAAAATTCAGGAGGAACAACAGAACAATAAATAGCACTGGGCAGTTGTAAGGAAAAAAGTAGCTTCTTTAATAGATTTCTATGATGAATGAAAAAGATTGTGAGAGATGGTATGTGCTGCAATTTGATTACATACTATAATACAAACATACTCTATTTTTATATGTTTTAACAACTCTGGACTGCTGCATTAGGAGTCTCCAAAAAACAGAACCAATCAGATGTATATATACATATATATGTATATATGTATGTGTATACACATATGTATATGTGTGTGTGTGTATGTATATATATTAAATAGGAATTGGCTGATGTGATTGTGGGTGTTGCCAAGTTTGGTATTTTGTAGGACTGGCTGACGGTCTAGAAAATTCTGGCTTCTGTTAATGCTGCAGTTTTGAATCCAAAGAAATCTGGAGACACAATTCTTTTCTCCACAACTCATTGCATGAGGCCCACCCACATTATGGAGGGTAAGATATGTTACTCAAAGTCCACTGGTTTAAATGTTAATCACATCTCAGAAATACCTTAACAGCAACATCTAGACTGGTGTTGGACCAAGCAACTGGGCACTACAGTGTAGCTAACTTGAGACACAAAATTCACCATCGCAACTAGTATATTCAAGCAGTTTGGGAGCAGTACTCCTGGACTAAATTGGCAGGAATAATAGGAAAAGAACATTTATACTACAAGTGGATCGAGGAAAGGAGAACAAGCGGCCTGGGTGTTGCTTTAAATGCATTTTATTTAACTTATTTAAATAAGAAATAATTGATAAGTGGCAAATTTCCCCTGATTTCATAGATGTTATTAAAACAAGGCATTCCAGGACCCCTGAGACTGATGAATCAAAGCTTTCTGTAGCGTTGATGACAGAGATGCTTCAGTGAGGAAGCTAGTGTAAAAATAACCTTCGCTTCCTGCTGGTGCCACAGCTGGGTACTTAGGGGGAAGCCAGCTTTCAGCATGAATGGGCTGCTGTGGAATCCTATTTCTAGCTGTCAAAGCAGAAGGTTTAGCATCTTCTTTCAATATTCTGGTAACTCAAAGGAGGAAGTCGAGATGATTTACTAAAGGATTAGAGAGCAAAAAATTCAAAACAGGACACCAAACTGAGGTATAAAAAGGAATATTTATCTTTTAAAAATACAACTTTGAACACTACTGACATCTGATTTACAAAGTATTTTCCTGAAATACTCTTCATTGGCTTTGCTTACTTAGTACATTCTCTTCTTTTCAATCAAGACTCAAGGGAGGGCATGCTGATGTTAGTATAAGCACCACCACCACCACAGAAGAAAAAGACCATCTCTGCCTCAAGATATAAGCCCCCAGTCCTCATCCTTTCCCTTTCTTTCCCATCAAACAAGACTTCTGACTGGTCCACGCACAACTGGACTTGTTCTCAGCACTCAGCACTCCAGGTGGAGCTGACCTATTTTCATGAAGCTTCACACACCCTAGCTCATTATTTATCCATTATCAAGAATTCTCTATTAATACTCCTATCAACTGTTTGCAAACATTCAGCATGAAGTAAACATAGTATTTACAGCAGTACATGGTTTGCAATTCAACACACTGATAGCAAAAGAAAAGGGACCACCAGACTTTGTCAGAAGGCCAGAGGAGAAAGTATATTAAAATAAACTCCTTCCGCCAATGTGTATGTGTGTGTGTGTGTTTGTGTGAAGGCGAGCACACAGGTATGTTTTAATTCATAAAAAACATGCCCTCCTTTAAAAGCAAACTATTTACAAGGTGATTCTGAATACCACATACACATGCCAGTCATACTGGACACTTGCTTTCCATGAATACATTGTTTTTTTTTAAATTTTGAAATAAACCTATTATCTGATACATTAGAGAAAATAACTCTGAAACATTTGTCAACTTTTGGTTCACAGTAATTTTGCAAAAACCCACAAACCATGCTTTGTCTTTTAAAAGGTGACCCTGGTCAAGCACCTTCTAGAAGACACTGATGCGTTATTCACTCACTGGCCTACTGGGGATTGGAAAGACAATGTCAGTTATGGAGTCCCTAGTGCTCCTGTCATTCCTCTCACCAGTAGCAACATTAATGTAAAGAGAAGTTCCGAAACACAAATCACGTACAAATCATCAAAACATTTCAGTTAACAGTGTTTAAAAAATACCAAAGTCTACAACAGTAGTACAGACACTGAAAACACCCTAAATACACATTAGCCTCAGGCCTTTTTAATACTACTAATAAAAAAAGACAACCAATTGACAGAAAGAGAGGAAGTTACAGCACTTGAGGTTTAAGTCGACTTCTTTTAGGGCCTGTAGCTTGAAGTGCTGTTCTAGGATCCTTATTTTAACTCAAAAGATATTCCAGGAATGAACTGACAAATTTAAAGCGATTTCCACTTGAAAAGCATTGAAAATACAAATCACTTTCTAAAAGCTTGTCCAACACACATGTATTTTCAGGATCCCAGGTTGTTAGGCAAAGGGATTCAGGTCAGTTTCAAGCCCTCAAAGCCACAGAATTTCCATCTCTTCTCCAGACTGGCTCCCACTCCAGTCATTTCCTGCTTGAAGGTGTGCTGGAGTCGGCTCATGAGACATTCCACATCACTGGTACAGATCTGTGGGAGAGAGAGGACATCTCCATTCAAAACCAGCCCCACCTTCCTAACCTGGCTTTCCCCCTAGTACTGCTTCAGAAAGCTGATGTGCACATGTGTATGCTGGGTGTGGGGTTGACCTTCCCCTCCCTGTGCATATGTGGTTGGTTGAGTGGATTCCAGATGGAAGCCTTCTTCTGCTATGACCACCTGAGTCTGCTGAGCTTTCTTTTTGTTTCTGTATTTCATAACTGCTTTATTTAGGTATAATTTACATACAGTAAATTTACCTACTTTATATGTACACATTGATGAATCTTAGTAAAGTTATACAATTATCCAACTGTCACCACAATTCAGTTTTAGAACATTCCCCCAAAGTCCCTTTGTGTTCCTTTGTGTCCTTACTCCCCAACCCGCACTCGGGTTTTTTCACTGTCGTTTTACATTCTGGGGGGAAATTTCATACATGTGCAATCGTACAATCTATAGTCTTTCTTGACTAGTTTCTTTCACTTAGAAGGATGTTTTTGAGATTGATCGCCACCGAGCTTTCTCTGGGAAAGAGCTGGTGTCAGTCGTGTGGAGAGCCTTGGGTCTGCAGCCAGCTGAATGATGGCTTATCAGTGCTGGTGATGTTATGTTCAGGTCCACTGAAGCTGCAAACCCTTTGGGGAGGGGAGGGAGGCAGAAATGGCTGCCACCAAAGCAGAAGTCTTTACACATGTCAGTTTTCAAAGGAAAAGTGACAGGAATAAATAGCTCTGTGTTCCCACTTTCTCTCTCTCTCACACACATATCAATACAAAAACAAAAACAAATCTGTGGACTCTTAGGGCTTGCTTCATGCAGTCATCTTTATGTCAGTAGCAACTTTCCTAACTGAACTCGGGCACTAGGACCTGACTGAAGAGCACTAGGGGATCTGTAAAGAAACCCCAAGTTGCTGCCACCCTGAACATTCCTAAAGCTGGTAGGAGGGGCCCCCAGGCTCCACTGGGACCATTGCAGACTCTCCTTGGGAGGCCCTGGCACTACCCCAGCACGAAGCTGCCCAGGAGGAACTGGCACTAGACTGGGAGTCAGGTCAGGCTCTGTCCCCGTGCTAGTGGCGGGCTGTATCCAGTCAAGTGAAAGAAGCACGCTGTAGAATTGAATCCTCACCGCAAAAAAACATATATCTATACTGTTTATAGATATATACATACAATATAGGACAGCAGATGTATACAAAAGAGTCTGAATAAGCTATGCCAAGCCACCAATGATGGTTATCCTTGAGAGGTGGCCTTGCGGGGAACTGTCCATTTGCCTTTACTGTAGTTCTATATTGCTTACATTTAAAAGATAATGTTTGCATTATTTTTGCAGTTAAAAAAAAGATTGTTTTTATTGACACAGAGTTCAATTTCAAATCACTTCAATGGATCCCTTGTTCCTGGTGCTCACATTCCATTCCTCCTTTCACTGTCAAATGGGCCAGCCACTTAATTGCAGAATAGCATCTCTTCCCAGAGATAAATGACAGGGGAATGCTAGCTAGAACTAAAACAAATGCCATGAGGAGGATGAATCACCTTCTGGATTTCCAAATGGGCCAGTGCCTCTGTTAAGTGGACATATTCTTAAATGGCTTAACACTTTGGACAGCTGACTGTCAGGAATCTATATTCCAATGGCACTTGTCAAAAGGCCCAGAACCTGTGAAATAGTGAGTACAATCCATGAGCAGCTATAACTGAATTCTGCTTCTGAAAAAGAAATCTATCAGGACTTTATTTATTCTGAGGGGTCACATGCCCCCTCCTGTCTATACGAGGCATGCATCCTTGACTTTCTAGGTAACTGGCACTTACCCTTGCTCCCGAGGCTTTGTGAGTTCCCTACAGGTGGCATCCAGGGAAGAAACTGGTCCATGAGATCAGCTGTGAGCAAACATTCAGTCTGTATTACAGACTCATTGTTCCAGCTTCTTGTGTCCCTGCCTGGTTGTGTCATTTTAGATAATGGCAGTGGTGATCTCAACAGTCCGGGAGGTGGTTGGAGTAAGACTTCCAATTGAAAATTTACATTTGCTAATGTCTAAAGGCCCAGGGCAGAAGTTTGATTGGTGAGAAATAATGCTTAATTAGCATCTGATGTGTAAATTAAGAAAAAGGAGGAAAATTCTTCTAAGATGTATCTTGGAAGTAGGGTGGCCAGCTCATTCAGATTGGCCTAGGACTTCCCCGGTATCAGCACTGGAAGTCCCAAGTCCCAGGAAACCCCTCAGCCCTAGGCAAACAGGGACAGATGGCCACCCTACTTGCAAGAGAGAAAGTTGATGCTGGATCACAGTGAGAGAATAGGTGAAGGAATTTTCCTTACAGTGATTACTAGTGACTTATTTGTGCTTGAGAAGAGTGAGGCCACCTGTTCACAAAGAATCCTACATCGCATTGCATGCCCATCTCGGGACCCCACATACCTTATTATCAAGACGGTGCAAGTAGGAGCAGATATATTCAATGCTTGCTCCAAATGGGTGGACATGAAGGAATGTGGAGATAATTCCTATAAACACAATAGCATGGAGGTTACACTTGAGTGTTGTATTCGCTGAGATGCCACATGATAGTGTCTAGCAAGAGTCAGCTCATATGTATACCATATTACATATCAGGTACTCTTCTAAGTTTACATATATATATACACACACACTCATTTAATCTTCACAACAACCCTGTGAGATAGGTATTACCATTCCCCTTTCACAGATGAGGAGACATTGAGGCACAGAATGTTTAAGTAACTTGCCCTAAGTCACATAGCTGGTAAGTGGCAGGCATTTGAACCCAAACAGCCGTTCTCAACCACTCTGTGGACTGCCTTTCACTGCCCTATACCACCTGGAGAAAAACTGGCATTTGAGGAGTCACTCCCATCATTCCTGATGGCTAAATGCCATTTGAGTTCTACATTTTACAATGAATTTAAAACTTTACAATGAATTTCGATTGTGCTGGGTATTTTGCAGTTCTTCTGCACTGTCTTACATTGGATTTTAGCTTCTTATGCATTTAATCATGTCTTGCTGTCGTGGCAAAAGTACAAATCATGGACTTTGCCTGATTAAACTTGTGCTTCTCACAAGAGAATCTGTTGATTGTATTTGGGTTTTATTCTGTGAGTAGCTCTGTAAAGAAAAGACAAACATTTCATTCACTCAGGTGATGACTAGCATTCTGTTTGTCCTCAGAGCCCTGAATCTCTTCCAGTATCAGAATTCTTATAGCAATTTATAGCCTCCAGGAATGTGCATGACTGCTACTCAGCATAACTCTGGGGTGACTGGTGGCTACATACATTGCCTTGATTATTTTGGCCATCAGGTTAATTGTGCTAATACTACTTTCTCTGGCAACAGGTAGAATATAAATTGTTCAAAAGTCTACTCTTTTTTCTTTTTTTTTTTAAATTCATCTCTTTTCATAAAATCTTAGGTATATCACATGGATTCAGAATTGAGCTTACTGAAAACTGGCAAGAAACAAAAGCTAACTTCGATTTGGTTTGTAAAACTACAATTTGTCTATCCCTTTAAGCAATTGACGAAGCATATTACAAGTTCAAATGGTAGGTTGAAGTACAAATAAGTTCTTTGCAAAAATCCTCCAAATACAGATGGCAAGTGGGTGGGTTGGAGGATCCAGGAAGAACTGATTGTAGGATTCGAAACTCTACTCAAAATGGATACTATTGCTTATAACACTACTTTCCTCTTAAATGACTTGGTAAATTGAATTTCCAAACACTGACTCAAGCTCAGAAACTTAAATTCTGAGGAATACAGTCCATGCTCAAAGGAATTCTAGATGCTATGACCAAGAAAGGCTGTCAAACGCCAAGAAATAACTACAGAGGTTTCAAAACATGAAGTAGTTTTTGTGGGTTCACACCCAAATAACCAATTTAAAAAAATAGATCTTCCTTTCTGTCAGCTCAAGACTTCTTTCTTTAAAAATACAAAACAAAACATGAAACACTTAAGAATCTTTGTTTCTAGAACTATCCATTTTCAGAGGCTTCCTCCTACCCATGGCTCTCCTCTGACAGGTCTCCCTGTTGCCATGCCAATTTGTTAAAGAACTTTGAGTTGGAAAACGGAAATAAGTTGTCACTCTTCTTGAAGACTCACTGGCAGATCCCCTGTGCATCTTTATTATCATATCAAAGTGTTAGATCTGAAAATAATATCCATTACTGAAGGAGGCAGATATATCTTCAAAATGTGCAGAAGCTAATTAGTGCGGAGAACTTTCGAGATTGGGGTGGGACTATTGTGCAGCTCAGATTCCTAGAAGGCAGCTGGGATTATCCGCTGAGGCCCAAGATCAGCCCTTTTTTAAATGACTGAATATTTTCAGACCTCCATTTGCCACTGTTTTCCAAACAGAATGTAAAGTCAACAAGCATTTGTGAATAGTGCCGTTAAGTGCAAAATGGTTCTCATTCATTGAGGGCTTGCTATGGGCTGGACACTGTGTTAAGTGATTTAGATGAATTGTTGTATTTAATACCTACAGCTGCTTTGAGATAGCTAATATTATTCCCATTTTGAAGATGGAGGAACCGAAACTCAATGATGGAAATGGAGGGGTCAAGACAGGAAGCCAGTTCTGTCTGATTCCTTAACCACTGATGCTATCTTGCCTCTGTCAATCAATTTCTATGTAGTGAGAGCAATTCTAGCATTTGTCTCATCAGAGCCCATCAGTGTTCAAACACCCCATAGACAGCCTCCTGGGTTGCCTGCCAGTAACCTGGGAAGATATGAGGCTCATCTGGGGAAGCTCTCTGCCAAACAATGTCTGCACTGCCCCTTGAGAGGGAGTGAGAGGGCTCACCTATCTTTTAAAAATCTACCACGTGTTTATCTAGCAGACCCCCTCTTAGCATAGTGCTTATACGGACACACTTGATGTGGCAGTGGCCACCAGAAGCTTGAAGAGGGCTGGGAGATGCCGTTACCACTTTGACTGAAATCTGTACTTGTCCTTATCCTGTCATCTTCAGGACTCTGGGTTCTTGCACTGGCATGCCTCATGAACGCTTGGCATGTGCTCATTCATCTTAGGTTACTCCTTTCCCCCACTCCACCGCACTTTATACATTGAATGTGTTCACTTCCTTACCCACTAGCAGGGCTTCGCGTTCAGATTTGACAGGACAGCTGTTCAGAGTCTTCTCCAGAGGGTAATCGCTATCCTGGCTCGACGCACACAGTCTAGAGGCACAGCTTTCCTGTGGGAATAATATGTCTCTTAGGTCAGTGCACCTTATATGGTAACAGGGCATGCGTGCGTGCCAAGTCGCTTCAGTCGGGTCTAACTCTGCAACCCTATGGACTGTAGCCCGCCAGGCTCCTCTGTCCATGGGATTCTCCAGGCAAGAATACTGGAGTGGGTTGCCATCTCCTCCTCCAGGGGATCTTCCCAACCCAGGGATCAAACCGATGTCTCCTGCATCTCCTGCATTGGCAGGCAGATTCTTTACCACTGAGCCACCTAGGAAGCCCTCCAATTATGTTGTTGTTGTGCTCAGTCACATCAGACTCTGTGAGACTCCATGGACTATAGCCCCACAGGCTCCTCTGTCCATGGGATTCACCAGGCAAAAGAATACTGGAGTGGGTTGCCATTTCGTACTCCAGGGGATCTTCCCAACCCAGGGATTGAACCCAGGTCTCCTGAATTGACAGGTGGATTCTTGACCACTGAGCCACCAGGGAAGCCCCATATGGTAACAGACTTGGTTTCAACTATACAACAGGGAACTTCTTAACAGCACCTCAAAAGCAATACTGTGCAATTTTGATTATTGAATGGAAGAGAAAATAGTGTAAACTATAAAAGCATCACTGATAATCCAAAGCTTACTTATAAGGCTTCAAAACACACAGATGAATTTAGACATATATCTTCACTAGTTTTTTTTCCTTCTGCCTTCATCATTCTTGACTTGGGAACCAGACCCAGTCTGGTAATCTTGGGAACCCTACCCAGCATTAATTGTCTGTGAGATGCCAGGAACTGGCAGGTAACTTTTATCTCCATTCTACAGATGAGGAAATTGAAGCTCAGATAAATTGGGTAACTTGTCTAAGATCATATTGCTAGAAAATGATAGAGCCAGAATTTCATCCCAGGCCACCCAATGTGAAAAAGACCATTCTTTTTTATTTTAGGTTCCACACTCTGCTAAAGGTCAGTCCCATATTTGAATGGAGAATCTACAGTGTAGCTGATCCACTCATGGGTAATCAACTGTTGGCTCTTGAACTGAATATTAGAGCCTTAATTTATTGACCATCAGCTCTCTTTCTCTCTCTGTCCTCTCTGATAAGGGCATCATCAGTTAGGATATTTATGACTTTAAAGCAAGAAATGACTGCTGCCAAAACTATCTGTAATCAGTGGCCTTCCTTGTTGTTGAAAGTGTTTTCTTTCTGAGCATAGTGGATATATTTCATAAGAGGGCTGGGGTGAAATCCATGACCAACAACCAAACTGAAAAAGGCCTCCAGACCTCTCTTGGATCTTTCTTTCTCTCTTTGGGTACTGAAAACATCTTTTCTGTATTATGACTGTGGAGGAAGAGTCTTCAGAAGAAGGAATGAAAGGAATCCCTGCTTCAGTATCACTGCTATTGTAAAAGAGAGTGATAGGGAAATGGCCCGCAAGGGGAGTGGATCATGGTTGACTCAAATGTTTTGTCACTTCTTTCCTTCCACAAGCTCTCAGCAGGGACAGGCTTCCTTCTTTTTTTCCTTTAAAGATGCCTTCAAAGCTTCCAGGATGCTGTCCCTGAATGAAACTAATGGTCTTTGCTGTGAGACATGTTGTTTTGTGGATTTACAGGCTTCCAGGCTGTAGTCAGAAGGGAAATCTTTCTTGATGACCTACTCAATCTTTGGCCTTTAGAATCCAATCCAGTCAGTAACCATCACGCCAAGTTTGATTTAAACTGCTGGCTCACTTCTAAGCCACAGGCTGTACATCTGCTTCTAACCCCCTTAAAACATTACATGATCCAGTAAGACATTTCTTAAGTGTGAGAGTTTAACAGATTGGGGTTGATTTAAGATATGAAGACATTCTGAGACGTTTTAGCTATCCTGAATCAAAATGCAGCCTGACTGAAACCTGACTTCAATTTTATTACAGCTGGCATTTAAAAAATTAGAAGGTGTATTGAAGGGCTGCTTATCACCTTGCATTTTACTAGCAGATTCAAAGAGCTAGTTCTTTCTGCAGGAAGACAGACATAAGTCACATTGTTATATTGCAAAACACTGACGATAACTCACACTGCAGTTTACTGTCAAGAAACCCAAACAAAAAGAAAAAAGATCCCTCCTCACCAAAACTTATTGCTTTCCTTTCAACCTGAAATTATTTTTCCAGTCTAATGTGATGGTACTTTGCTTTCTAACCTAATTGTGTCAGTTTGAAATATGTGGTCACAAATCAGCTTCCCAGAGAAGATCGGTTTATAATGAACTCTCATGACTTTCTCTGAAGGAAGCCTCCCTTCAAAAAACAGGACAAAAACATATTCTGGCTCACATGTTTCTCATTATCAGTTGCATCTCTCCTTCTGTCCTCTTTAGCTGCCACTCCATGGCTTCCCTGGTGGCTCAAAGGTTAAAGCATCTACCTGCAATGCGGGAGTCCCAGGTTTGATCCCTGGGTCAGGAAGATTCCCTGGAGAAGGAAATGGCAACCCACTCCAGTATTCTTGCCTGGAGAATCCCATGGATGGAGGAGCCTGGTAGGCTACAGTCCACAGGGTCGCAAAGAGTCGGACACAACTGAGCGACTTCACTTTCTTTCATGGTATATGCAGATTCAAAAATGGGAAACACTTAGACTTACTTCTAAAACAGCAAGATTCTTCTGTACCATTTGACCCTTTGCTTCTTTAAATGAAATACTTTACAAAGCAGAGGGCTGATTACACTAAAAAGCCCTCAAGTCAATTAGTGATGTCAATCCTGAACAGTGATTTTAAGCTTAATGTCATTAGTGTAACCCCCTGTTTATCTATAGCCTTCTGGCTACACAACACATTCCATCTTATGCAAGAAGTGAAACGGAGCTAAGTAGAAGCTCTGGGACATTTTAGAAGCTCTTCTTGTATGAGGCAAGTCCTGCTAAATAGAGCAGCTTTGGCACTTTTCAATTAAATGCTTGATAAATGAATTTGTCTGGGATTATGCTGGTTTCTTTAATAGCACCCACAAAACTGGAAAGTGAGTTGGTTTTATGAAGTGGAAGAATTAAAAGCATATTGCAAATGGCCTCTGGAAAACACTTTCATCATTTGTTTCAACTACACTAATGTTGCCAGTTCTTAATGGCACTCTAGGGGAGTCACTATGCTCACAGACACACCCAGGGCCTGTATGCATTGCATCTTTCTGAGCTGAGCACAGAAGAGAAAGGGCACAAGCGCTTGTGGAACTGCAGAACTGTGGAATTGATTTCTGGCTCTTGGTCTAAGCTTCTAATCTTCTCTTCCTTCTGAGACATTAAAGTCAGGCAGCTCTGGTCAATGGGCCTTTTTCTTTTCAGAGAATAACTTCACTTGGTTCAGGCATAAAGGAGGTTACAGAGGTGTGACACGGAGACGCCACCAGTTGACTTTACACACCTTAAATAGACTGGACACCCGATGCGTGGTTGCAATACATTAATTCATCCAGAAATTTAGTAGACTTTCTCTGAGGTCCTCGTTGGCGGTTCTTACGGCTGCAGACTCTCATTAGGCAGAATCCCATTTTGCCTTCCCTGTTACTATTACCTAGCTTTAGCATAATGTGTCTCCTAGTTTGCTTTCCAAGTCTGCCCACCCCCTCCCTTTTGGTTTTGGCTATTTCAACCTACAGCAGCTCATTATCATACTAGATGGAGTGTCTGCAAAGAAATGTCAATGTTCTAGTTGTACTTGAGTTTCTTCATTTAATGAAATGCTTAATTAAAAGTAGTTTGTGTCACACGGATTTTGACTGAAGGAAGCAGTGATGCGGTATATACTCTGATCGTTTCCAAGAAGGAAGACTGAGGAATATTAGGGATGGACGGACATTTTATTCATTGAAAAGTACACTTTCCTGAACCTTCAGAACTGCCAAGGACTCAAATCTAAATGCTGAGCCCTTGATTCAAGAATTAGCCTGGAGAGGAGGCTCTTAATCTCCATTCAACCAAAGATTTCGCATTTGACACCTTTTGGTAGGAACTTCCAGGGCATTTTCATTGTTACTGAAAAGCAGGAAAGGAACAAGGGAAAAGGCACACTTAGGATTCATGTACCTTTTCTTTGAGATTTTCCAGCATTTTTTCCACCTGTAACTTGTCATCTTTGATTTTTTCCAGTTCAGCTTCTTTCCTTTTGTATTCCTCTTGGACTTTCAGTAGATGCTACAAGAAAGACCAAAGACAATCAAGTCCTAAGAAGCCACACTTCACTTAAAAACCCTGGCTGAAGTTAGATATTAGGCAGGCCTGCCTCACTTTCCCCCAGCACACACACTCATTTCTACATGCAAAGATACTAAAGGGAAAATCAAGACACTTTTCACTTGAAATTATTTTATCTGGCTCTTAGAAGTCTTTTGGATTTGTTCATATTTTAGAAACACTCTGAGAAACTGATTGATCTAATCACTTAATTTTCCTATTCCAGCCAGATGTAAGGGTGTTGTTGTTGTGCAGTTGTTAAGTTGTGTCCGACTCTGCGACCCCATGGACTGCAGCCTGCCAGGCTCCTCTGTCCATGATATTTCCCAGGCAAGAATACTGGAGTGGTTTGCCATTTCCTTCTCCTGGGGATTTTTCTGACTGAGGGACTGAACCTGGGTCTCCTGCATTGGCGTGGGGACTCTTTATCCCTGAGCCACCAAGGAAGTGATGTAAGTGTAGGGTGCAGTTAATACTATGTGGACAATATCTTGATTTTGGCATAGAACTGAGCTTAATGTTGTAAAGCATTCTTGCAAATAGCCATTTTCCTAGCCAAGCTCAATTTCTGTGAGGGAAGTAGTAAAGAATCCAATTTCACAAATGTTAGTTCCCTTATCAGTAGGCAAGGAACTGGATTCATCATTAATGATTATTACGAATACTATGTGTTTAGTATCTAACATGTGCCAAGTATTATGCAAAGGGTTTCACATGCAGGATCTCATTTAAGCCTCACAATAATCCTATGATACCTAAGCCTGAAGATTAGAGAGGTTTAGTGGTTTGCCTAAGGCTATTCCGATAGTCAGTGCCAGAGCTGGAATTTCAGTTCAGGGTGAGTCAACCCCACAGCCAGTGTTCTTAACCAACATATTAGACTATACATCTATTGGGGATAAGATGGCAGAAATTTTACCATGGTTTACATGGCTACTTTCCAATAAAAGGTAATCAAAATAAGTAAAATTAATTTTTCAGGAGGTAGAGACCTAATTGTCTCACTGAGGTTTTTGAAGCGATGGAATAAAAAAAAAAAGTTCATTAGTTTTCAACTGAACCACTCCATTCTTAGGTGGAGTGGTTTCAAAATCAAGGAAAGAGGGGAAAACCACAATAAGAAAATGTTTTGCTTTTCAGAGGCTTGCAAAAGACCATTGAGAAGGATAAAAGACACAGTACAATGTACATTGTCAAAATTCTTTGATGTCTAGCTGAGGCGATGTATTTTTTTGGTGGAAAGATCTCTGATTAACTTACATGTTCTAATTAAACTCCATGGTGACAGTAAAAGGAAGGTAACCATTACTTCACACATTTTGTTAATAGGAAAGGTGAAATATTAATGTGATCTTGCTTGTCACATAGGAAGACAACGATAGCAGAAGTAATAGGAACATGGGGCTCTTAGTGCCAGAAGAGACTCCATGTTCACAATTTGAGATTTCTAACCATCAATAAGCTTCACCCTAGATAATTCCAACGCACACAATTAAAAAATTATTGCACAATTTAAGTTGTAAGGAAAATGGCTGGTAGTCTGGCAATACAGAAGAGGATAGTACCCTTACTGAAAAGTACTATTCCTTTGCTCTAATGGGAACAGATGCTGTATCTTAAAATAGTAGGCTTGTTGCGGTGATAACCATGTAAAACTTCTAGACATAGAGCATCTATTACACAGTGTTGTTTTTGAATGCAATTACAGTTGGATGCACTTATTTACTTTACTTTTTACACTTGGGATAATGTGCAGGTAAACTCATTCACACAAATGACTGTGAAAACAAAACAAAAGCAAATTGGTATTATGTACCCCAAAACACTGATACTTAAAAGCCCATAACATCCCTCCTTCCACCCAAATCAAGGGTAGGATTCCGGTCATTTCTTCTAAAAGACTGTATTATTTAGCATTGTATCAACTAGATATTTATTTACCAACACTTTTGCATATCTAAGTAATTAAGGTTCTTCATAATGACCTTGAGACTCTATTCAAATCCTAAAGTATATTTGGTAGCATAAAGATTAGGTTATGCTCAGTGTAGGTTTATTGCTAAGTATGTTTTACTGAATGCACATTCTTTGGAAACTGGTGATCCATTGTTTTCTCTGTATTTACCAAAGATTTCATGAACTACAATATGTAATCCCTTCCTCAGCCATGTCAGAAAACAGAATATCAAGAAGAAGAGGTTTACTATCCTATTTGCTTCTGGGGGCCCTTTTACAGGTGAGGAGCTGATTACTAGCCTTCCAAAGAGCTCAGAAAACCAAAATGCCTTTACCTGTTGCATTCCTTGCAGGGCTTGCTGCAGGAGCTTCAGCTGCTGTTCCTTGTTTGGGTCATCTTCTCTGTGGGCTTTGCCTTGTTCTTGCTTGAGCAGTTCTACCTCATTCCGGTAGGCATCTAGCTGCCAACGGAGGCTGTCATTTTCTTCTTTCAGAGCTTCTGCCTGTGATACTAAAGCTAAACAATCAATATAAAGTAGTAAAAACCATATACCCAGGTTCTGTTGTGATTCACCTTAGCCCCATGAAGACTTGGCATTTTAAATTGACATGTATGAAAAGTCTCTCAATGAGAAACTTTAGGTTTGAGTTGGCTATGGTAGCAAGAGATGGACACAGGAGCACAAAGACTCATTTTTGTAAATGAACACAGAATTCCAACACACAAAAGTCCCCACCATGTTTCAATTCCTCTCTCTAAACATCACTAAAATATTTCTAGGTAACATCAGTTACTTTTACTTGAAATGCAGCAAATGATGAGTCTGTAATAATAAAATAGAAGGCTAATTGTCTTGAACTGATGACTGTCCACTCAATAATTTGTTTACAGTTGTTTTTTAAAAAATGCAGCCTTTTAATGCAGCTTCCTCTGGTCCTATAGAGGAAAGGTAAATGTAAAACTTAAGACACAAGATTTCCTGGGGAATTCCCTGGTTGTCCAATGGTTAGGACTCTGTGCTTTCATTGCTGAGGGCCCAGATTTGATCCCTGGTTAGGGAACTGAGATCCTACAAGCCATTAAAAAAAGCATTAAAAGTACAGAGGTTAAGCATTAAAAAAAAAGACTTCCAGTTTATGGTCTAGCATGTAAGGAGCTTAGAAGTCACTACTCCATCCTAACAACAAGTAAAAAGCTGAACTAACTGAAAAAAAATCAACAACTCTTCTTTGATACAACAGAGAAATGAAGCAGCAATGCAAACTCATACACCTCCAATTGGAGAGAAAACAGGTGAATACAGAGGATGACAACTTACCAGACCAGAAAGCCATCAGCAGATATCACCACAGGAGAGAGTGACAAGGTAGGAAAACCCAAACTATACTTGGCAATTTGCTGGAGGCTCAGTGTAGACAAGTCTGAGAGTTAAAAAGCCCAGGGAGACCCAGGCATGGCTTGGTCCCTATGCTTTTGTGAGTCTTATGTACAGAAGCTCCACCTGGTCCTCAGAGTGAACACTGGAGAAAAATTCCTATGTGCTTCCAGCAGGGGAGGGGAGAAAGAAAACCTTTTGAAATATGCCAGAGCATCATGTTCTTCTGTAAAAGAACTGCCTTCAGAAGAAATTATTTTACCAGAACCTAACCTACTGGAGTAGTACTAGAGCCTAACCAACCCGGGGAACCAACCAGCTCCAGCCCCCTCTAGCCATTCTGTCCCACCTAAGTGGGGAGAAAAAACTGAGGACCACTTATGAAGTTCAGAGGTACAGGCTCACTAAAAGACTGAGACCTAATCATAGGACTATAAAATGATTCTCTTCCCCCCACTTCTTACCACCATACCGAAAAAGTCCTATTTAACAGAGCTCCTTTCACCTAGTACATCATGTCCAGATTTCAACAAAATTTACAAAGCATACTAAAAAGTAAAAAACATAGTTTGCAGAGACTGAGCAAGGATCAGAACCAGTCAGATATGGCAGAAATGTTGGAGTTATCAGACTAGGGATTTAAAACAAGTATTACTGGGAATTTCCTGATGGTCTACTGGTTAAGACTCCATGCTTTCAATAAATTCTCTCAATTGAGTCTGTGAGGGCCCAGCTTCAGTCCCTAATTGGAGAACTAAGATCCTTCAAGCCACAAGGTATGGCCAAAAAAGAAAATGAAGCAACTATTATTAACATGCTACAGGTTTTAGTAGAAGAAGTAGACAACATGGAAGACTAGATGGATATTGTATGCAGAGAGATGGAAATTGAAAGAATCAAATAGAAATGCTAGAAACAGAAATGTTTAAAAAAGTCCCCTTAATGGACTTACTAGTGATTGAGCATGACTGGGGAAAGAATTTCTGAGTTGGAAGAGTTGACAATAGAAATTTCCTAAACTGAAAAGCAAAAAGAAAAGAAAAAATCACCCCCCCCAAAGAAAAGAAAATGTAAGAATTGTAAGACAACTACAAAAGATGTAATGTATACATAATGAGAATGTCAGGAGAAAAAAGAGAAACAGAAGCAATATGTAAAACAATAATGATTGAGAATATGTCTAAATTAATGCTAGATATAAAACCACAGATCCAGGAAGTTCAGAGAGCATCAAGTAGGATAAATGCCAAAACATGTAACATTTAAATTTCAGAAAATTAAAGAGAAAAAACAATCTTGAAAGAAACCAGAGGGAAAAAAAACACCTTATCTATAGAGAAGCAAAGATAAGAATTATATCCTACTTTTCCTCAGAAATCATGTGGGCAAGAATAGAAATTAAGAGAATACTCAAAGTGCTGAAAGAAAAAAAAATCCAGCAACTTAGAATTCTGTACCTTGTGAAATTATTCTTCAAAAGTAAAGGAGAAATACCTTCTCAGATGAAGAAAAATTGAGGGAATTTGTTGTTATTAGTCCTGCCTTGCAAGAAATGTTAAAATAAGTTCTTAAGACAGAGGAAAATGACATAAGTCAGACACTTGGATCTACATTAAGAAAGGAAGAGAAAAAAAAAAGAAGAGCATCAAAGAAGGAGTAAGTAAAGGTAAAATAAAAACTAATTTTTCTTATTCTTACTTGATCTAACAGATAATAGTTTGCTCGAAATAATAGTGACAATGCATTCAATTATGTATGCTTGTGTGTGTGTGCACTTATGTATAAGTGAAATTAATGACAGCAATGATACAAGGAATAGGAGGATGGAGTTGGGATTATATTATGATAACATATTTGCACTAGCCACAAGTTGGTATAGGGTTATTTGAAAGTGGACTTATTAGCTGTAAATGTAAATTGCAAACTCTAGGGCAACTACTAAAAAAGTTAAAAAAAAGAAGTATAACCAATATGCTTAGAAAGAAGAAAAAAGAAATCATATAAAATGCTCAGTTAAAACCACAAGGAGCTAGAAATGTGCAGAAGGCAAAAAGAACAAAGAACAAGAGCAATAAATAAAAAACAGTAACAAATATGGTGGATGTTAATCCAACTACATCAATAATTATTGTAAACATCATTGTCTAAATACAACAATTAAAATTCAGACATTGTCAGAGTAAGAAAAAAATAAGAAACAACTATAATGGTATCTTTAAGAAACATTTAAAGTATAAAAATACATATAGATTAAAAGTAAAAGAATGTTAAACAATACACTATGCTAACACTAGTAAAAAAAAAAAAGTAAGAGTAGCTATACTAATTTCAGGCAGAGTTGACTTCAGACCAAGGAAAATTATCAGGGCTAAAGAAGGGCATTACATAGGGATAAAGGCATTAGTACTCCAAGAAGATATAACAAGCAATGTGTGTGAGCCTAACAGTAGAGTATCAAACAAAACAAAATCTAATAGAATTACAACAAAAAAATAAATGAATCCACTATTATAGAGACTTTATACCCCTCTATCAAAAGTGGAATGATCCAGTAGGCAGAATATGAGTAATGACACAGTTGAACTCACAGCACCATCAATTAACTGGATAAAATTGACATGTATAGACTATTTCATTTAACAGCAGATTATACATTCTTCTCAAGCACACATTCACCAAGACAGATTACATTCTGCATCATAAAACACACCTAAACACATTAAAAGAATGCAAATCACAGTGGTATGCTGTCCAATCAAGATGAGATTAAACTAGAAATCAATAACAGAAAGATAGATGGAAAATTCCAAAATACTTGGAGATCAAACAACACACCGCTAAAAAACACATGAGTCAAAGAAGAAATCACAAGAGAAATTTTAAAATATTTGAACTAAATGGAAATAAAAAACACAACTTCTCAAAATTTGTGAGATGCAGTGAAAGCTGTGCTTAGAGGGAAATTTGTAGCATTGAATACATATATTAGAAGGGAAGAAAGATCTAAAATCGATCATCTGAGCTTCCACCTTAGGAAACTAGAAAAAGAAGAGCAAATTAAATCTAAAGTAAGCAGAAGAAAACATATAGTAAAAATAGATCAGAAATCAATTAAATAGAAAACAGGAACTCAATAGAAAAAAATCTGTGAAAACAAAAGCTGGTTCTTTGTAAAGATCAATAAAATTGAGAAGTCCCTAGCCAGGCTAACTAAGAAAAATATAGAGAAAATACAAATTACTAATGTCCAAAAGTAAAGAGAGGACATCACTATAGATTCTATGGACATTTAATAAAAGGATAATAAAGGAATATTATGGACATGAGTTTGAGCAAACTTTGGGAGTTCGTGATGGACAGGGAAGCCCGGCGTGCTGTAGTCCATGGCGTCCCAAAGAGTCGGACATGACTGAGCAACTGAACTGAACTAGTCCATAGTTCAGTCCATAGTACATAGTCCACACATTTGATAACCTAGATGAAATGGTCAAACTCCTTGAAATCTGTTAAAATGCACACACAAGAAGTAGACAATCTGAATAGGCCTCCATTACTTTAAAAAATTGGATCAATAATAAATAACTCTCTAAAGTTGAAACTACTAGGCCCACATAAATTTACTGTTGAATTATTTAGGGAAGAAAATAATACAAAATTTCTACAATCTCTTCCAGAAGATAGAAACAGAGAACATTACCTAACTCATTATATGAAGTTGGCATTTTCCTAATACCAAAACCATATGAAGACATACAGGAAAAGAAAGTACAGACTGCTATCTCTCATGAACATAGATGTAAAAATTCTCAACAAGATGCTAGTAAATCAAGTGCAAGAATGTATAGAAAGAAATATACCACAATCAAGTGAAATTCATCTTGGGTATGCAAGACTGGTTCAACATTTGAAAATCAATTAATGTAATTCATTATGTTAATAAGTTAAAAAGGTTAAAGTTGCATGATAATATCAATAGATGCAGAAAAGGTATTTGACAAAATCCAACACCCATCCATGATTTTAAAATCTCAGTAAACTAGGAATAGAGAACTTCCTCAATGTGACGATAAACATCTACAAAAAACATACAGCTAACATCACACATCATAGAGAGAAACTTGAATCACTTCCATTAAGAACA